GAGATACTGAGGTGACAGGCACCTTATATGTACCTAGTAGAGACAGATTGTCCTAAAAAAAAAAGTAGATGTTTTATCAGAAAAACAAAATACACAAGCTCTTAAACAAAAAATTCTCTCTCACAGAGGGAAAGGGGATTTGTGGAATTGAGTTGTAAAATAAAAAAATATTGGTCTTCTACTGCCTCTCTCCATCTGGAGAAATAACTCAGAAGTTTTTTTCCTGTTGAATGGTTTGTTATGAATCCTGGCAGCAGTAATGTTTGCCTATGAGCTGAGTGTGTTGAAAGGGTGGATATAATTAGCAGAGAAACTCCATGTGTGTGGAAGGCACAAACCACCAAAACAGGTAGAGCAAGAGGATGTTGCTATGGACTAGAGCTACTTAGGAGCCAGTAAACTCAACCTCCTAAAGGGTCAGAAGGACTTGAGGAGAAATGGATGAATATTTTCCCTTTGCTGCTTGAGGAGAATCTATAAGAGGGCAACACCACCTCCTCATTTCATGGACACTTTGGAAATAAGTGCTGCTGCTCCTGTTTTCTGGGCAAAATTCAGGAATGTGGAACATTGAAAGGCTATAATATGCTGACATTCATTCATTTAAATGAGAGGACCTTGAATATGTTTTGTCAGCTGTCTTTACTATTACCCTGTTACTAATTTTATTTTCTCGGAAGGTGTTTAAGAAGCTGCTCAGAAGAGAGTTTTGCCCGGAACCACGTGGTTTCCTAGTTGAAAATAGCTAGTGAAACTGGCAATACAAAAAGAAGTGGATCATCACCCTCTTTTTCATAATTTAGTTGGGTTAATGTATTGAAAAATCTGTGCAAAAACCATCATGTGGGCAGCTTATGCAAAGGGGATTTTTCTTCAGAAACCTCAGCACGGAGTAAGCAATATTTGAGCAGCTTTCATATGAACACTTGATCACTTAAATTTTAATTATGTTTTCAGCTTATGCTTCTTATTAATTCTAACATGCAGAAACCTTCATTCTTATATCAGTCATTGAGTGGAGGGGCCTTAGCTAAGGACTTTCTTTTCACTGTCACAGTGTAATTGTTTTATTGTATGTATGTGTTCACATTTATGCTAAAAGTCTAAAGTAGGCGAGCCCATTATTGCGCAAGAGTTAAGAAAAGAACAAATTCTATCAGTATGGTTAAATCAGGCTTGTTAAAAGGACATGAATGTTTTCCAAACCAGGCACAAAATCTGCTTGCCCAGCTGTATCACAGTGATGAGGAAAAAAATAGTTTACTTGCCTCAGGTGAATACGATGTTGCAAGGTTGGGATATAACATTTTAGATTGTATTGTTTTCCTTCAGGGATATAAAAAAACAACTGCTTTCCCTTCAATTTCCAAGAAGTCCCTGGAAAACACAAAAAGTGTAAGTATTTGAAGTATTTGTCAGGCTCTCTCCAAAAGCAGTTTGTGATGCTCCTACAAGGGCTATAAACCAGAACATAATTTTATGCATAGGTACTAAAGCGTAACTAAAATTAACACAAGGAAAAAGTTGTCTGACTCTTTGGACCAGGCTTTGCTTTAGTACATTCTCAGATGGCTACAGCTGATTTGAAAGGGAGCTGTGTATTTGCCTTGAGTAAAGAATTTGGCCCATTCAGTTAAAATCTGTCATAGGTACTTATGTCCCCCGTCACCATAGTATCTGAGTGCCTCACAGTATTTAATGTATTTATTCTCATGATGTCCCTGTAAGGTAAGGAAGTACTGTTAGCCTCATTTTTCAAATGGAGAGCTGAGGCACTGAGAGGTTAAGTGACTTGCCCATACAGGCAATCTACCGGGGAGCGGGAATTGAACCCAAGATCACCCAAGATCCAACTTAGCAGCCTGTGTAAAATGTGTTACTCACCAGCTGCTACGCCCCCTTGTGGCTAGGTAGGCATAACAAGCTCCCCTCTGTTGGTGCCCCCTGCGGTGGTCTGCTTTTTCTTGTGCCTCACTAGCCAGGTCACTTTGGGTATGTATACACTGCAACTGCGAGTGAGCGTCCCAGCCCAGGTAGGCAAACTCACACTAGTGTACATGGGGCTCAAGCTTGTGTGATAAAAATAGCACTGTGGACATTGCAGCTTGGGCAGTCAAGCCGACCAACCCCCTAGGCTAGAGGGGCCAAGCCAGAATGTCCACCCTGCTATTTTTGGTGCACTAATTTGAGCCCCACACATGCTACCATGAGTCTGCTGACCTGTGCTGGGAGGCTCACACCCAGCTGAAGTGTAGACATACCCATATGATCCCACCCCTTCCTCATCTTTGGGTTCTGGTCCAGGGACCCTTGAATAGGCAGTTGAGGCTTGTCTGCACAGACCCATTGCTGCCTTCCTGGACCACTACACTTCCTACCTTGCTGTAGGCCTTTCCCACAGTCTCTTCCTGGGCTCACTGTGTATTGGCATCACTCTGTCTGAACTTCTTCTCCAGGCTCACTGCAGAGCTCCTTGGCACATTCAGCCATTCACTCCCCTCACAGGGCAGTCACTGAACCTGCAGAAATCTTCCTGCTCCCTGAAGGCCTCTCTGCCAGCACAGAAAACCCTGGGCAGATGCTCCCCAGTTTTACTTTACAACTGCCTGGTGCTCCCTGTTGCAGGCTTACCTTTCCTTCAGGGAGATTCTGTCTGCTAGCCATCCAACTCAGCTCCCTGACTCCAGCCAGGCATCTCTCACAGAGAGAGAGCGCTAGCCATCTGCTCTTCTTCCTGACTAGCCACCAGCTGACCCCTGTTCAGCCCTTTTAATTCCTCCCTCCAAGCTTGATACCTCCTGCAGGTGTAGCTGATTGAGTGCACAGGCTGTCATTAATCCCATTCTGGGCCTTGTGGGGTTTCTACACCCCATCATATATGTCAGGTGTGGCCAAATTGCAGTTTGCGAACCACAAGCGGCTCTTTTACACTTGAAGTGCGGCTCTCAGAGCCCTCTCTTCCCCTCCCATTTTCTACCTACCAGACTGGGGTGGGAGGGGAACTCAAGGGTTCTGCCCTGTGGTGGGGTTAGGGGCTTCTGCCTTGGGGGGGTCTTGGGCCTTCAGCCCTGTGGGAGGCACCTGCTGGAGCTTGGGGCTTCAGCAGGAGCAGGGCTGAAGCCCCGAGCCCCAGCAAGAGCGCCCCGCAGGGCTGAAGCCCCGAGCCCCAGCAAGTGCGCCCAGCTCTCTAACTTATGAAGATTATCATATGCAGCTCAGAGAGTCAGTAAGTTTGGCCATTCCTGATATATGTAATCAGACATTACAAAGCTGCTTTCCTTTACAAATAAATGAGAAAGATGATATAACAATCACTCACTTTTCAACTTGTTTCATTGTGGTGTCACACTGTAGTATCTTTGGTAGGTAGAGTTTGGTTGAAGATAGAGCTTTAAAGAGTACCTCTACTTTTTCTCCATCAGTTTAACCCCTCCCTGCTGTTCATAAATGCATGTTGCTTTGGTATATACACCTCACATTTTGATACTCTAAAAACTGTAAAGACAAACTGTGTTATACTCTGAAATTATTACTTTAGTCAGGGCCGGCTCCAGGCAGCAGCCCACCAAGCTTGTGCTTGGGGCGGCACCTGGAGGGGGGCGGCGCGGTGCTCCGGCCGCCGGGGAGAGCGGGGCCACGGCTGGGCACTCCGCCCTCCTCCCAGGGATCCGGCCGCCCTCCCCCCCGGCGCCCTCCCCCCGGGGCTCCGGCCGCCCTCCCCCGCGCTGGGGGGGGCCTCCGGCCGCCCTCTCCCCCCCCCCGCGCTGGGGGGCGGGGGGCGACTGGAGGCTTTTTTGCCTGGGGCGGCAAAAAAGCCAGAGCCGGCCCTGACTTTAGTAGAAGGTCCATAGTAACAGTTTATTCAGACTCAATGAACCAAATCATGTCCCTAAAATTTAGGTCTGGAGGAAAATTTTAAATTTTTAATAAAACGTTTCTCTGTATTTTCAGCAGCACAGTAATTTGAACAGCCAGAGATCATCCAAAACCCTTCAGGAACTGTTCTTCTCCCCACAGATTTCATGTTCCCAGCAATCTCTGTACAAAGCTGTCAGCTCTAAGTGGGCTGGGGTGAGTTAACTTCTTGAGTTATGGAAACAAATGTAAAGTATTTCCGAAAAATAGTGAATAAAGACAATGAAAATATTTTAACTGCAAGAATGTGTTTTCTTCCTTGCTCAATTTAAAACAGTAGAATTTCAAGAAATGTACTAACTAATACACAATTAAGCAATAGAAAGTATAGTTAGGGCCCAGTCTTGCTTGCTTTACTCACGTAAATATTTCCATTACTGTAGATCGAGAGTTCTCAGTCTTGGGATTGTGAGCCCCAGAGGAAGTGTGAGCCATACTGTAGTTCACTTATTCATGCTAGCGTTTATATTGACTTCAGTGGAACTATTTATGTAAGTAAGGCAATCAGGATTTGGCCCTAAATATGTGTTAGTTATTAAGAATATACAGGACTGCTAGAGGTACCTATCTGAGAAATGGGTTTCTCAAGAATGGCTCAATCATCATGATTTTAAGATCATTTGTCAAAGCTGATACCTTATTACAAATCTTCAGATATTACCTTTACATTGTGACTCTTCAGAAGGAGGCTTGAACTAGCGGTTGAATTTAACTCATTGACAATTTTTTTTGGTTTTAGCTGGTTTTTTGGTTTGGTTTTTTGGATATGCCATTTCAAGTTTTTTCTTAAAAAACAAACAAACAACAAAACTTTCTGGATAAGTGTAAATGTACTGTTAAGGAACCTCTTAATTTTTGTTTGTGATATCTAGAGACAATATTGGCATTAGCATGTACCCAGTACAAAAATAAGTGGAGAAACCGACATACAAGTGAAGTCCCATTTAAAGGTATGTGGTAACTTCCCTTGTTTTCAGATTGCTTGGAATAGCTGAAAATTAAAGTTTGCTAATTCATCTCTTACGCATGTTTCTAGCATCATATGGAGCATCGCCTTGCTCGAAGGCTGAAGCAGCCTGTTGGACGTCAGGCAGCACTTGAGGATGAAAGTCTAGCTGCCTTGGGAAATACAGAGGCTTTTACTCTGAGGGTAAGAATCAGTGAAAAATATCAGACCAGTTGTCCAACCATAGACTTACAAGTAGAGCACTACTTAAAATGTGTGTCAGTAAGGTTTCAAATGAAGACATGCTGCATCTGATTATGTTGGGGAATGATGGGAGCCCAAAAAGTGTGTGCAGGGAGTGAGGTCATCAGCTGCGGTTCCTTTGATCTCCCCCATCCCATGTAGTGAAGGGAGTTTTCCAACGCCTTGGGTAGGGCGTTTCCTCAGTATCTTTTTCTTCCCTCCCACCCTTTGTGGGCAAATTATTGACATCATTGTGTTCTTCCATACAAGGAGGGATTAACAGGATTAATACCAGTGAGTATGGAAAAGAGATGTGGTAGAGGAGAAAGCACAAAATAATCAAAAATAATAATATAAAGTGAGCACTCTACACTTTGTATTCTGTGTTGTAATTGAAATCAATATATTTGAAAATGTAGAAAAACATCCACAAATATTTATAATAAATGTAAATTGATATTCTATTATTGTTTAATACTGCGATTAATACTGCGATTAATCACAATTAATTATTTTAATAGTTTGACAGCTCTAATCCCGACATTTCAGAGTTCTATCACAAGATCATGAGTCAGACTTAATTTTACTTAGAAATCGTGTCTCTCAAGATTAATTCACAAGAGTTGGCATGTCTGCCAGGCTCTATCTGTGGCACATAATAGTTCAGTCTCCTGTGGGCTGTAACAATTTAGTCTAATTTCAGTTGTTGGGTTAGATCAATCCACACAAGCGGTTCATTTCCTGGACACTACTGTGCTAATAAGCGATGGTCACATAAATACCACCCTATACCGGAAACCTACTGACCGCTACACTTACCTACATGCCTCTAGCTTCCATCCAGGACACACCACACGATCCATTGTCTACAGCCAAGCTCTAAGATATAACCGCATTTGCTCCAATCCCTCAGATAGAGACAAGCACCTACAAGATCTCTATCAAGCAATCTTAAAACTACAATACCCACCTGCTGAAGTAAAAAACAGATTGACAGAGCCAGATGAGTACCCAGAAGTCACCTCCTACAAGACAGGGCCAACAAAGAAAATAACAGAACACCACTAGCTGTCACCTTCAGCCCCCAACTAAAACCTCTCCAGCGCATCATCAGAGATCTACAACCTATCCTGAAAGATGATCCTTTACTCTCACAGATCTTGGGAGACAGACCTGTCCTCGCTTACAGACAACCCCCCAACCTAAAGCAAATACTCACCAGCAACCACACATCACTGAACAAAAACACTGACCCAGGAACCTATCCTTGTAACAAAGCCCGATGCCAACTCTGTCCACATATCTATTCAAGTGACATCATCATAGGGCCTAATCACATCAGCCATACCATCAGGGGCTCGTTCACCTGCACATCTACCAATGTGATATATGCCATCATGTGCCAGCAATGCCCCTCTGCCATGTACATTGGCCAAACCGGACAGTCTCTACGCAAAAGAATTAATGGACACAAATCTGACATCAGGAATCATAATACTCAAAAACCAGTGGGAGAACACTTTAACCTGGCTGGCCATTCTATGACAGACCTGCGGGTGGCTATTTTACAACAGAAAAACTTCTAAAACAGACTCCAACGAGAGACTGCTGAGCTGGAATTGATATGCAAACTAGACACAATCAACACAGGATTAAATAAAGACTGGGAATGGCTGAGCCATTACAAACATTGAATCTATCTCCCCTTGTAAGTATTTTCACACTTGCTTCTTATCAAACTGTCTGTACTGAGCCATCTTGATTATCACTTCAAAAGTTTTTTTTTTTCTCTTACTTAATTGGCCTCTCAGAGTTGGTAAGACAACTCCCACCTGTTCATGCTCTATGTATGTGTGTGTATATATATATATATATATATCCTCAATATATGTTTCACTCTATATGCATCCGAAGAAGTGGGTTGTAGCCCACGAAAGCTTGTGCTCTAATAAATTTGTTAGTCTCTAAGGTGCCACAAGTACTCCTGTTCTTTTTGCGGATACAGACTAACACGGCTGCTACTCTGAAACAGGTTCTGGGAGATATTGGTGGCCTGTGATATACAGGAGGTCGCACAGGAGGCCTTCTGGTCTTAAACTCTATGACTCTATGGCCTTGGCTACACTTGCGAGTTACAGCGGTGTAAAGCCGCCCCCAGCACTGTAACTCACTCCCCGTCCACACTGGCAAGGCATTTGCAGCGCTGTATCTCCGTGGTTGCAATGCTGCATGTACTTCACGTCCCCAAGAGGAATAGCGAGTATTGCGCTGCAGCGCTGCGGCGCCAGTGTGGCCGCCCAATGCGCTGTGAATGGCCTCCAGAATTATTCGGCAGTATCCCACAATGCCTGTTCTAGCCACTCTGGTCATCAGTTCAAACTCTACTGCCCTGGCCTCAGGAAAGAAAGGCAAGGGGATTGGGGAAAAGTGTAGGAAATGACATGGGAAGCAGAAGGAAATGAAAACAGCTATTCTGGTGGGGGGAAGATTATGTAGAACCCTGCAGATGAGGAACAGGAGCTGACATTTGATGTAGTAAGAGACAAGAAGTAAAATGAGAGAGTCTAGACTCTAGAGGGTTTTCCATTTAGCAACACAAGGCCCTCCCATTGCCACATAGGTTTGATGTGCTGTCTGCACCACTCTCACAAGAGACAAAGACTCAAATTTAGGTCTTTCACATGACAATGCTGAACTCTACCATTAGGCTGCTAGTTCACCCCCTGCAGTCCATACAGATATGTAACTCCCACTGAAGTTGATGACAATTGTGTGTACGCATTTGCATTGCAGTATTTGGCCCTAGTCTGTACATATTTTGACATGGTGCTGCAGTAAAGTTTGTTATGTGAAAATTTTATTTCTCTTCAGTCCAAAGAAAAAACTACAGATCAGGCCAGAAGTCACCATGCAAATTCCAGTGCATTTTCAGATGGATCTCATCAGAAGGATAAAACCTGTTTATCAGAAGAGGAGTTATTCTTCAAAAGGCACACGACAGCAATGCAGAGAGGAGTAAATTTAAATAATTGGGTCCTGCCAACCCAGAGAACAGATGAAATACCTCACTTGAAGAGCCTGGAGATTAGTGATGACAAGGGAAACAACAGAGTGATGACAGACTCATTGAAAAGTGCTTTGTTAGAAACTGTTGCTTTAGCTGAAAATGAGCATTCCAGTCAGGATAATGGAGCAGACAGACCTGTCTACAATGAATCCTCATCACAAAGTACAGCTCAGCTGGAGCCCCAGTCTGCAAGCAGGGCTGAAAAAACAAAGTCTTCTACTCCTTTGTTACTGAGGAGCTGGGAGGTGCCTGCTAATCTGGGAGAAGATAAACAACAGGACCCTCCTGATAGTGACAGAGACAGGACTATAATTAGGGGACACATCAATATACCATATTCAGCCAGAAAGAAAGTCTTTATGGTCTACATTTTCGGAGGTTATCAAAGTATAGCAGTTGGAAACCAGCCCCATTCCCACCACAGACACTCCCACACCCTGAGATTCCTGGACTATCATGTATCACATCTGGGCTAATTATTATTATTCACTATATAGTGCCCAAAGCTTTGCTAGGAAGTCTAGTTTCAGGGAAAGAGCATAAGACTGGGAGTCAGGAGGTTGTTGTTCTAAGTCTGACTGCCCTTGACTCACTGTTTGGCCTACAGCAAGTTGCTTCATTTATTGTCTCAGTTTCTCCATCTGTAAAGTAAGAATAATAATATGTACCTACCTATCTACCACCTGGGGTTAATGTGTTATTGTTTGTACAGTGCTCTAAACATATGAAGTGTTATTCACATGTAAAGTGTGTGTGTGTGTGGGGGGGGGGGGCGTGGAGAAAGACAGGTACCTGCCCTGAAAAACTTGCCATCTAAATAGACATCATTTAGGCAAAAAAAGTGTGTGTTAGTGGAAATGGCAGTCATCACTAGACTTTTTTTACATTTAAATAAGAGTTCCAGGACCCTAGCATGTGAAACTTCAAACGAGTATGAACAAGTCAGTCTATTAAAAAAAGAAACAATAAAATTTTCACATGATGTCAGCACTAAAATACTCCCAATCTGCCATACCCAACCCTTCAGAAAAAGTCTGGGTACATTTCCTTTTTCCTAACAGTGGTGTGGAGGTTCCAGTAACTGTACATTTGGGCTGTCTATATAAAAGGTGAGAATTCTCCCATGTCCCTTTAAAAATACAGTTGTCAAGCATGCTGCATTTCAGTATTTATACCTAATACATTTAAAAGATGACAAAATAGTTTTTAAAGATGCTAATAATAAAATTGATGTAAAGATGGGAGAGGAAACCACCCTACAAAGGTTGCACACAGAAACAAATCTGCTGTGAGGTTTGTGTGCCTCAGGCAAGTGCAGTTCCCAGCATGTAAAGAGATGGAGATGGACTCCCAAAATTTGCCTTCAGATTTTCATCCCAACATTTAAGGGTGCTATAGTCTTGGGATTTGGCTGTCCTATTTTTGAGAAAGGAGCCACTCACAACATTTGCATCTGGATTGTGAACATCCAAAGGATTGTGAGTGTTTAAATCTTTAGTAACAATGTACACCTTATGAGCAAAATGGCTAGAATGTGATTGGGAAGATGTGTGCACATGGTGATCATAAACAGTGCACCTTAGGTGACTATTATATGTAGTACCATCTGGTCATGAATGAAAAAGCATATCAAACCATGAAATAATCTCTAAACACCTCTTTTATTTGGGAAATATTTATCCCATTGACTCATTTCAATCTTTGCGTTAGCATGAAATGCTGCAAAGCTGTATTTTATACCAATATAACCATTTAGCTTCATTATACTTGTTTTTTGAGCCAGATTCAAAGTCAGAAAGAAATGCATTAATGGAAAAGTCATACCCTTGTCTGTACAATTACTGTAAAGAAAGAGGTTACAACTTCCGGATGCTGGACCTAAGATGAGGGCTAAAAGATGGTGTCAGCAACAATCACCGCATGGTTTTACTTCACTTGAAAATGCTGAAGAAGTGCCAGGAGTTGGGACACCAAACATTCTTTGTAAGTTTGGGTTTAATTTTCTGTGATTGATTTCTAGTATATTTTCTAGGAATTGTTTGTTTATTTTATTTTCTGAACAATGCACATCTTACAGATCTAGTGTATTGAAGAATAGAGGTAATTGGTAAGTACTCCACTGAGCTACACCCTGTGGAAACTTAATGACTTGATTTTTGCACAAAGTGTATACCAGGGCTGTATTGTGTCCCCTTTGTATGGCTCTTTACTCTATTTTCTCACTGTTCTGTTTTCAGGTTTTCATTGGGCAAAAGCATGACAATCCTGTCATCCCAGAAATCAAATCAAAGGAAAACTTAGACGCAATTAAAGACACAATTGAAAGCATAAAGCTGGTTGCAATAAAGCTAAAGCAGAATATGCCAAGTAGCTTACTACATGGTGGCTCAAAAGAGGCAGTTCTGACTGAGAAAACAGAACAGGTAGATGATAATCAGGCTGGTGTTACCCAAAATTTTCTGGGAACTGACAAGTCATCAAAAGAAAAGACAGTTGAGACCCACCCCAATAAAGAACCAGAATCAAATATTTCAGATGAGCAGGATTTGCCTAACGTGTCTCCACTCACACAACATAAACCTGTGGTCGAATATGAGAAAGAACTGCAGCTTCTTAATCAGTGGTACAAACTGGATGAAAATTTTGACCCAAGTGTTTACAGGCTTCTACCTATCAGGTTCGTGTTTTATCACTTCTGTTTGGAAGTCCTTTGGTTAAGGAATATAAATGTTTTTCATTCCAAACCAGCAGACCAAATTCGGTGATGAATCCTGGTCACGTGCCACCTGAGGCACTTTGTGCATATGCTAAGAAGAAGATTCCAAACCATTTGAGAGATTCATTTGTTCTCCATTCATTTAAAATGGAATCAGTGGGGAGGGGGAGGGGGGAAATCAATGAAAAGGTCATTTCTAAACAGCTATATAGAAGAAACATTTCAGCCTGTAGAGTTGCAGAGGAGGGTGGACTCAGTGATCCAGGCAGTTCCATTCAACGCTATCATCTACGAACTAAAGTTATCAGTGTTTAAATGAACAACACTTTTCCCTTTATAGTACAAAATGCACCAGCAGAAGGTGTTGCTTAATAATGATGCTAATAATTCTGACATCTGCAGATCTTGAAGGCAGATAGGTACTTTATCCCCTGTTTCAGACGTGGGGTAACTGAGCTCAGTGAGACCCAGTCAGGAAGTCAGTGGCAGAGTCAGGACTGGAATTGTCTCCTGACTCCTAGCCGCATGCTCAATTCACTAGCCCCCTGCTGTCCTTGCCTGAAGTTAATTAGCTTGTTTCTCTAATCACATTTTGAGCTTTTAGAGCAGCTTCTTCATTTTCACACATCTTCTCTCACATGTTTGTGGGTCTCTCATTCTTCCACACAGCACCTTTTACCAGGATATTTTCAGCAAGGATCCTGTACGCAAACAACAAGCTCAGAGTAAATGGCTGAGCTCTTTTCAGAAACTGCATAAGATATTTCAGGAATATGCTCCAGTTGCTCTCGGCCAGGAGACCACCACCACCACACTACTTAAAACAGGTGAGACTGGAATCCAGAAGTGGAAAACGTGTCAGTTAATTGGAGAGATCAACAATACACTGTTTTTAGGAGAAACAAATTAAACAGTTTGTTCCAGTCGGTAGGAATGGACAAATCGATTGTGGCAGCTGCAGACATCTACATGCCTAGCATGGTTCAGAAGCCTGTAAGTGCCTGGATACTTATGATTATTACAGCAACATAAATACCCAAGAGAAGAAATTATTTTCCCTCAATAACCCTAAGTGCCTGTCTTTGTTCAATGTATGGTTGGATTGGTGCATTTAGCATATGTAACGCCTTCTGCAGTCTGCAAGCTTATTATTTGGGCTTTACTAGAGGAGCAAGCAGCCTGGGTTTTGGACAGACAAAATAAAATATGCAATCTGAAATACTGTTAATAACACTCAGTGCAAAGTACAAAATGATGATCTGACTTTTGCTGCAGGATTAGTGTAAAAATAATTTAGCACTAATACAGCACTTTTCATTGGTAGATCAAAAAGTTCTTTTCAAAGGTAGGGAAATGATGGGTATTCCTATTTTTCAGATTGAGAAACACAAGTAGGTTAAATCACTCCCCAGGCTCAGAATACACCCCAACACTCTAATTCTCAGTCTGGTAGCCTCTCCACAAAATAGCATGTTAATGAACAGTTGACTCATTTAAAAAGAATATAATGTAGTTAGAATACAATCCAGCAAAGAGAGTCAGGCCCTGACACTGATGAGGAAAATGGAGATCTCATCCTATGACTGGTATTCTTTCTTCTGACCAGGGATTTTAGTGTCTCATGCTTCATGAGTCTTTCTTGAAGATTTTCTCTCTTCAAACAACGCTGGATTTATAGAATAAAGGGGTCGCAGTTAAAATCTCTGGTATGTAGGTGCTTCCTCCATTTAAATAAACCCTAAAGTTAACAGAGGCTAAAATAGAGGTTATCCACAAGTGTAAGTGTGTTTTGGGAGGAATTATACCTTACTTACCATCATCAAAGCCCTGGCAAGACCATTTTTACTTGCTATCACAGGTCAGGAAGTGTTCCCTTATATTCAGCATAAATGTTCATCATCTTGATACTCTTAATTATTCCCCATTTACCACACTGAAATCCTCTAAATCTTTGGCATTAATATCCTTTGATATATTTGCAGACTATTATCATGTCTCCTTTAGGTTATTGTTTAGACAAGTTGTATGCATTAAGTTCATCATCATTCCTCCCATGTCAATCCTTCCAATCCCCAATTCTGTTTTGTTGCTCTTCTCTGAACTTCCTCTTGTTTGTCAATATCTTTCTGTTAATGTTCTAGAATTGGTTGCAGTATTCCAGGTGTGGTCACACCAGAACCACATGGAGCCAGGCTATTACTGCCTTATTCCATAAGAAGGGCCCTTTGAGCTTGCAACCCAAAACTGCATGGGCCTTTTATTACATCCATATCACTTTGCAAATTCTTGGATGATTTGCTGTCCACTATCACTTCTAGGTCTTTTTCATAGTATTACTGTCTTATAGATTTCTCCCTGCCATTTGCTATGTTAACCATGCAATTTACAGAAAATTCATAAAATAAAACAATTATGTGTAATTCAGCACAGTTTACTAGATCTCATTGGAATCTACAGAGTTTGTGATGCTGACAAAATGCAATGCTCGTATCTTTATTGCTGTGCTAGTACCTATCATATTCTCTAAGCCATTCTTACAGCATGCTATTTATTTTTGTAAGTGTTCTAAGAGTAAGTTAAAAAATGTATCAAGAATCAGAACGTATTTTCCCTTTGTAAGTTTTGCAGCATGAGGTTGATCAAGGATTCCAGGTCCAAGGCTCTCCAGAAGATCACTGTCATTGCTTCAAGAGAAACATCAGTGACATACAATACTACCTGTCAAGCAAACAGGCTTCAAAATATATTGATATCCACCAACTGAGACTGGTGGTCAATACAAGACCGTATGAAGCACACCAGAAGTTCATAGACAGCATCCATGCCAGGGTACACTAATAGTTCCTTTCCATTATTTTGGTTTTTATCACCATGTCAGAGGACCTCTTTACATCATGCATTAGTCAAGTGGCAAGGGATAGATGAAGAAAACCATAGAGCTTTTTCATCTTTCCTTTCCTTCACCATTTGTGCCTTTTTATACTGCTCCTTACATCTGCAACAACATCCCTGTTCCTGAAAGTCAAGTGTCCTCTCTTCCTTCACATCCCTTCTCCAAAGCCACTTCTTTCATCTTGCTTATCCCCCATTGACCTTCATTCCTGTGTTATTTACTTCTTTTTTACCCCATCTCAGTCTTCTAAGATTTACTCACTATCTAATATTACTCCCATTTATTTTAACCTTTGTCCCGCTTTTCCCTAATCTCTTGCTTTGCCTGTTCTCTTTATGTTCAGTATTCATGGCAGGATCTCTGGGAGAGGTCATATCTTTTTTACAGTCCTTAAAGTGCAAAATTATGATTCTATATAAATCTCAAATTATGCCACCCTTAATTTACCTTGATTTCACCTAATCCAGAACTAGTCCTATTGAATTCAGTGAGCCTAATCATGGAGTAATATGCTGCTCATTGTGAGTTGAGAATCTGAACCTTAATGTTTAATACTAGTATTAACGGTTAATTAATATTTAATTAACAGTATATGGTCATTTATTGTTCTCAATTTCTTTTACTAAAAGCACTCAAAGCATGCCAGGAGGGCCAAAAAAGAATCCCATGAAGTATTAAAATCTGGCTTATGGCAACCCATCTTCATGTAATTGTAGCATAAGAACCAAGCTGACTAATTCTAATTTATTTTTGTTTTGGGGCCAGTTAACTCAGACCAAGCAATTTGTATTCATCTGTCAAAAAATAAAATGCAAACACAAACATTACACGCACATAATTATTTTTGGCTTATCTTTATTTTCTCCTTAAGCCCTTTTTCCAGCCTCCTCCTGTGCATCCATCTCTGCACAGGATTGTGCAAATTTTAAAAACAAAATTAACATTATCAGACAATAACATGCTGTCTGTGTTCTTCCCTTATCCACCACTAGCTCTCTACCTCCACTCCTTCATTTCAGTCTGACCATTTTATCTATCTGTCTAATCCTTCAACTCTTTCCCTTGTTGATTTCCCTTCTTCCACCTTCTGGCATCTTCTTCCCCGTTTCCCTTATCTTTAGCCACTCTTTCATTGGTCTCATTTCTTTCTACAAGCCTAAAACTGTAACGTAAAAACATTACAAAAAAGTACAAACTATCCTACAGGGTTGTTATAGCTTAAACCTTGCAATATCTTGTGGCAAAAAGTCACACCCAATGACAATATTATTTTAAAGTTTATAATCCAGAAATGATTTTATTATGAGAACAGTCATCCTGGGATCCTTTCCAAGATTTGTGAAGTAAGCTAACTAGTGGCTATGTATACACCTATTATAGCTCTGTTCTTTCTTTACAGCTTCAGCACACTAATATCTATGAGACAAGTGTTAGCTGGGGAAAGGATGGAATCAACCCCATCAGCAAAAGATCCCATGCCTGCTACTTTGAACGCCTGTGCAGTGACTTTCAGAAAATTGTCATCACCCACTTCAACAGGTCAGTTACATAGTGATGTCTATGAAGATGACCCCATAAGAGGGAAGAAATAAGTAGCACAGAGTAAGAGCTACTGCCATTATTCTGGGCTCCAGCTGCATTGAAAAGTTACAGTGAAGAATCCTCTTGTGTTGGGGTTAGTCCCAAACCAGGCTTTGGTTAACAAAAGCTGGAGCAAATTGGGATAAAGCAGATGAGTTTCTGGACAGTTGGCAGATTACTTTTGTTCAAAGTTTGCACATTACTTAGCATGTCAGAGCTGCAAATACATCGAGTTCTTTGATGCATTAATAAATGTTCTGATCTAAACCAATTCCAAACGAATGTGGAAATAATGCAGTTCAACAGAATACAAGATTTTGAGGATACAAGGACTTCAGGCTAAATTCTGCCCTCAGTGATAATTCTGCAGTCCCACTGTCTACACGTGACGTGTGTAAAACCCTTATCCTGCACTGTAAAACATACATACCAAATGAAGTCCGGGTTAAATGTAGTGTTAGGGACTTAAGCATATAAAATTGCACATGCGAAAGCATAGAGTTTTTTTCAGAAGTGCCATGGAGTTGGCTATTTCAAACTGAAGATCATTCTAAGTTTTGCACACCCTTAGGAAGGCCTGCCTCTTCTATTTCTCAAAATATGCAGATCAGTCAGCTATGTTTAGGAGCACAATTTTCAAACAAAACTTTCAAGCGTTCTTTATACATCTTCATGAAGCAAAAACAATTCACCTTTAAAGGAAAACTATTCATTTCCTGTTAACAAGACCTGGTATCTTTTCATGCCAAACAAACAAACAAACAAACAAACAAACAAACAAACAAACAAACAAACAAACAAACCCTTTGTTTAACTCTACCAAAGGCTTTTTTTCTGCTCTTCCTTTACTAGAATGACCTGTTCAAAGAATTTCCCTGGGGGGCTGGATGCAAGGAAAAGAAAGCAAGTGTATAGAGGTTATAGTGATGAAGAGATTCTGGAGCACGTCCAGCATTGTCAAGCACTGTGAGTTGAGCAATTAATTTACATAATTCATGCTTCTAGACAAAGACAAATAGCACATAGTGTGGTGAAGATGACTTAGAATAGTTCACCTGATTTAATTGTTGCTGAGGTTTTTCCTTTCAAGTGTGGGTATTGCCTTATTTTCTCTCCAGCCGCATAAAAGGTTTCTACAGTAACACCCTAATCTGGGCTGCTTCTTTTTTTAAATAGTTACCAGTAAAATTTTAGATCAAATTCTCGTTCCCTTCCCTATCCCCACCTGTCTCCATTTTCCAGATGAGGCAGAGCACACCAGGGCACTGTTTGGATGAACTGAAAGGCCTGTAAAATGAGCTCCCAGGCTACAAATCCTGGGACTTACTGTGGCTAAGGTTTACCTTTGGTTTCCTCCTTCTCAGGATCTAGTATAGGGGAGCATCGTCTTCTGGGAGCAAGGATGGGTCACCCGAGATCAGCTATTTGTGGGGGAGGGAATGGAATGGAGGAGGAGAAAAAGCTCTGACGCTGGTAAGTCAGGGCCAGGTCTTTTC